GGTCCAGCAGGTGGTCTGTGGTTGGAGGTGTCAGGCACACGGCCAGTCTTGGCACTCCAGGGCCTCTGCTCCGACCAGCAGTTTCAGGGGATTCACTCAAGGAGGTTCAGAGAGGTCAAGCAGTTTGCTAATAAGGTCATCCCCATGAAGACAGAGCCAGGATTTGGGAGTCCTCAGACCTGCCTTTTCCTGGTGGCTCAGATGGTAAAGAATCTGTCTGCACTGCAGGAGACCCAGGTTCAGTCCCTGAGTTTGGAAGATCCCCTGGAGAAGGGAATGGCAACCCACTCCAGTATTCTTGCCTAGAGAATTCCATGGACAGGGGAGCCTGGTGGCCTACAGTCCATGGGGTTGCAAAGAGTTGGACAAGACTGAGGGACTAACACTTTCACTTTTCCTTAACTGGAAGAGCTGAGGGCCTTGGCCTCTCCCCAGGAGACCCCTGCAGCAGCTGGGAAGGCCCTGGAGCAGCCAGTTTGCTGTGATCTCGGGAGCACTGAGGCCCAGCACATCACCCCCACGGCTGTCCCCTCCACAGACCCAGGGATTTCAAAATCCTTTGACATATTTGGGGAGAGCATCAAGGAGCTGTAGGCTGGTCTAGCCTGAGCCAGCATAGAAGGGCAGCCCACAGCACGTGGAGGAGACCTCCTGACCGCTGCCCCCCAAGAATTTCTTGGGCTACCAGAAGAGAAAAGGCTGGACGTAGAGTGCTCTCTTGTTGGCTTAGGCCAGGGAAGGGGTCAGCAGGCAGGACGCAGCACCCTTGCTTCTCCCGCTTCTCCTTCCCCAGTCATGCAGGGCCACTGCTAGGGGTCTTGGGGGGGAGCACCCTCCCAGGACCCCAGCACTAGATGGACCTACAGCCTGTCCTTCCCACCAGGACCTGCCAGATCCTATGCATGATGCTACGCAAGTTCAACTTCCCCACTGTTGCTCTGCACTCCATGATGAAACAGGTGAGGCACCAGGTGGCCACCCAGAGCCCTCCCCGACCAGCCTCGCCCCGGGGACGCCTCCCGGCCCCGGGGCTTTTGCTCAGGCCCTCTCCTCTGCCTGGAACACTCTTCCTGCTGCCCCATCTGCCCCGTTCTGGCCTCCTCAAGGTCATCTCCCTCCCTGGACTGTGAGCCCCTTGAGGGCGGAGACTGTCCTGGCCTCTGTCGTGCGTGTCCCCAGGCCTCACACAGTAAGCATAAACTCTGAAACATTTCTTGGGATGTTACCTGACACTCCCCTGCCCCAATTTTCTCCCAATTTGGCACAGAAAGAACGCTTTGCCGCCCTGGCCAAGTTCAAGTCCAGCATCTACCGGATCCTGATCGCAACAGACGTGGCCTCCCGGTGAGCGGCTCCAGGGTGCTCCCTCCCCGACGGTGGCCCCCACAAACGGGCCAGAGAGGGAGGCTGGCTTCAGGCAGCCCCACTTCACCGCCGAGTGACCTTGGGTGAGTCCCAACCTCGGTTTCCCCACATGGACAGAGGTGCTGACTGACCTCTGCCTCCAGGGGCCTGGACATTCCCACTGTGCAGGTGGTCATCAACCACAACACCCCCGGACTCCCAAAGATCTACATCCACCGAGTCGGCCGGACAGCCCGCGCAGGTGAGCAGAGGGCGGGGCGGCCTTCGGGCACCCACCCTCCTGCCCGCACAGCATGCAGAGCCAGTTACGAGCTGGTGGGGCACAGGAGGGCCACAGGCCGCAGGTGAGAGAGACTAGAGGTAGTGCTCGCAAGCTGGGGAATCCTCCTTTCAGAACCATGGGCAGGACTTCCTTGGCGGTCCAGCGTCTCAGACTCTGCGCTACCCATGCAGGGGGCACGGGTTTGATCCCTTGCTGGAGAAGATCCCACACACCATGGCCAAAAAACTCCCCCAAACAAACAAAAAGACATAGGTGGGGGTGGTGTGTCTTCTCCACATGATCCAGGCAGCGCTGAGCTGTCCCCTGGGGACACGGCACACACAACCCCCCTCCCCACCACTACCTCCTGCCTCACTCGAGCCCCCTCCACCTGTGAGGGCTGGTCGCCCTAGCCCAGCAGCAAACAGGTGTATGGGTCCTGATGGGTAAGATGCTGCCCTGAGGGATTTAGCATTCAAGTTCAGCCACTTGCTGTGACTCCTGGTAGGAGCCTTGCGTCTGCTCCCCAGCCCCACTCGGAAGGGACACGGGAGATTTTCTCACACTTGGAGTGGGCAGAGCCATGGTTTCTGGAGCCAGACTGGGTTTGGCCCTTCTCTCCTGCCCTGTGGCCTCAGGCCAGTCACATCAGCTCTCTGGGCCCCCACCGCCTCGTCCAGCAATTGGTAACAAGAATGTGACGCCTGTTTGGGGCAGCTCTGAGGGTCTCAGGCCTGGCCAGCTCCCAGGGCTGTTCTAATACATTGTCTCATGGAAACTGGGAACAGAGAAGGTGGCATGTAGAGATCAGAGCTGAAGCCTGTCTGGGCTTCCTGCTGACAGAACTGGGCTTGAGCTCCCTGGCAGCCATACTGAAAAGGGAAATCAGCCACGGCACCGGCCCCTGATTAAGGCCAAGCTGGCAGGAGAGCCGCCTCTCCCTGGAGTCCTGCTGCTCCCCTGGGACAGACCTGCCTACCACATAGAGATCAAGCAGAGGGCTGAGACCTGACGCTCTAAGCTTCCTTCATTTCCACTCATTCCTCCACCCACTGAGGTCCTGTACAATTCCCCTTGATCAAGAGGAGCTCTGAGCCAGCTAGCGGTCAGGACCTGCTTGTATCGGCCCCTTCTCCTGGCTTCCAGCACACAGTCTGGGTGTGTCCCCACAGGGCGGCAGGGACAGGCCATCACGCTGGTGACGCAGTATGACATCCACCTGGTTCACGCCATCGAGGAGCAGATCAGTGAGTGGGGGCGGGG